TGTAAATTTTATATGTATACATTTTTGGGCATTTAAAACCATTTTATTCTTGTCACACCATTTCTGAATAGAATTTATATCGTCCTGGAGTTTGTATTTGTTTGTTTGTATTTGTGTAAACTAGTTTGTATTTGTCTCACACTTTCTATCTTCTGTCTCTTTCTCACTCCAACAGCTCTAGAAACTTCGATTCACTTTTGTTTGTAATGCGTAATTTCTTTTTCAGTTCTTTTATTATTTATGGTAGCTACGATAGCTGCTGGATTATCATGTCCTTGCCCCCGCGTGTATTGGCCAGTGTGTGGTTCTGATGGGCACACATATTCCAATGTGCAGTGCATGAGGTGTCAGAAACCCAGGCTGAGGGTCATCGGGCAAGGACCATGCGGGGTTAAACGCGAACCTAGGATGTATGAACCGGGAATTTATAAATTAGTGTACTAGTAATTTAAGACTGATGTATTTAATTATTAAAATAAATACATTTTAGTAATTGTTTTATTTCATTTTATAACAAACATTAAGAGTAAGATTTGTATGTAATTAGCACATACGAAAAATTCAAAGATGTGTAAATCAGTCAGCATGGTTGACTATGCAGTCCAGGGATGGCGAACCACTGGTACGGGTGCCACACGACACATTGTTTTGGCCATATCGATGGTCATAAAAACGCTACAAAAAACTATTAAGAAGGTTTTATACAGTAGTTTTATACATAAGTGAAAGTCCAAGGGAAACATGAAATATTTTAAGTTATCAAGGGTGGAGGATTATTTTTCAAAGTTGTAGGGCTTTTTAAGTTACCGAGGTTTAAGTTATCGAGGTTCTACTGCATAAGTGAACGCAATGTCATTACCATGCACCATGGAATGGACGTAATCAGTCAAAATTATTTGATGTCTAAGACTGCAATAAACATTTAAAAAAGGCATTGATGCATAAAGGTTCCTTACCCCTTATTTCCAGAGGTAAATGCATTATGCATACTGCCGCGGCCAGGGGGAGAAGGTAGTTATGCGAAATTCTCCTCATAATGCGGCATTTCCACTGAGACCCTCTGTTCCTCCAACGCATTAGGCCGGGACCACGAGCACGGTATCCGTCTGCGACCGATTCGTTACCCCTGGCCTAGTCACTTCTGTAGACTTCTTGCCCTGGGTATAGTAAGTTGACCATGATTGTTTATATCTCGCCCGACTGCCCGATCACGAGACATTGACTGCCCGCACACGTACCATGACATGACCTAACGTACCCTTCGTTAGGTCATGTTTTAATTAGAAGTAGTGTTTAGAATACTAGTGTTAGTTGTATATATTTCAATTATGTGTAATTAATCTTAAAGGATTTAAATAAATAAATAAAAATAGATAAAAAATAAAACTTGAAGTAGGTATTGTTTAAAAATTGAATATAAAAACGACTCTCAATAACAAACAGGTTGTAATTTGCTTGCATTCTTCCAGCTCTTTAAACATTACCCAGACAAGAGTACACAAGGTTTCGTAATTGTTTACTTAATGCACTTATAGTATAGTTTTTTTTTATATCGACTGATCTACATTTTATTTTATGCAACAGGGCGCAGGTTTTAATTTAAACAATAAGATATCTAAATCCTTGTTATTAGACACAAGATAATGAAAAGCAAAACACATGATTGAATAATTTTTTTAGACAGAAGAAATATACGAGATCATGTAGGTTATGTTATAATTAAAATTAGTTAAAAAGAACCTCAGGTCGTATTACCAAATTTTAATGCTTTTAAGTCATATAAATACCAAAAATATGACAAATAACAAAAAAATCATCATTATAACCTTACTGGATTGGCCCCATACGCTTCGCCGGGAACCCAGCCACATTCCCAGGGAGGCCCTGGAGTGGATCCCACAAGGAACAAGAAAGCGTGGCCGCCCTAAACAAACCTGGCGGCGTTCAGTGGCGGCCGACTTGAAGGTAATCGGGCTGTCATGGTCCGAGATACAATGCAGAGCGAGCTGGCGACGTACTGTGGACGCCCTCTGCCCCACTTTGCGGACATAGGAATAGAAGAGAGAAGAGAGAGAGAGATAATCTTACTAATATTATAAATGCGGAAGTTTGGATGGATGGTAGAGTTTGTAGCCTAAACGGCTGAACGGATCTCGATGAAATTTGGCATAGATGTAGCACATAGTCTAGAAGAACACATAGGCTACTTGCTTTTCTTGTAATTCCACGCGGACGGAGTCGTGGGCGAAAGCTAGTAATTATATAAGAGCGTGCGGACACCTGAAACTAAACTATCGCACAATTAATCTCGATTTAATTCATATGAGCTTTTATGGAGGCGCACTCTACTCGATTTTCAGTTGTGCAACTAAACAATTGAAGCTGTAAAACTATCGACAGTCAGTTGTGCGATAATTTAGTCAAAAGTGTACGTCCGCTCTAAAAATTTTATTAATTTTTGAAACAAATTATGCATTGAAAAAACAAACTTTTGTTTTTAAATTATTTTAATTCACAATATATAACAATAGTCTTAATAATTATCGAATGTTTATTTTATTGCATTGTTGTTGTTGGTATAAAATGCAACTGCTCTTACAAAAGACATCGAATAATTAAAAGAAACTTGCATTTAAGATGCTTCGTACATTTGGTAAGTAATTTAATTTGTATCTGTAATTTTTTTTAAAAAAAAATAAAAAAAACCACACAGTTAAATTATAAGTTGTAGACAACAACAGAATATTAAAGTCGACGCGTTTCACGCACTCGAAAAAACAGCATAGTCTACGAGCATAACTCTGTGTTAAATTTTTTTTTTTGAAGTTACAAACACTCTTTTTTTATAATTTTTTATTTTTTTTTTCATTTTCAACTACAAACCCATGGTAATAAGAGATATATTTCTCGTTTCAGTGTTCGTCTGCTTGCTGTTATGCATGGTGCAATATGCATATGCCGGGAGCTGCGCCTGCCCTGCGATATGGGATCCTGTCTGCGGCTCCGATGGCGTTACTTACAGCAGCCGAGCCTGCATGTACTGTGCGAACCCTTGTCTGACTGTCCTTTACGAAGGGCCATGTTGATCCCCTTCACAGTTACTTGTCAATATGGCTGCAGCTAAGAGGGAATGTTACCAACCTTTCTCAGTGTTTTTGTTTTATTTATTTTATGTCTTTGAAATTGTTTTAATAATTTGTGATAAAAAATTAATAAATGCTTGTTTTCAAAATCTGATATATAAAATTCATTGACACATAAATATAATCTTTACTAATATAATAAAGAATAAACACACACTACTTTGTGGCGTAGAATGTTAGCAATCACAGCGTATTTTTAAATAATTATTTCTTTAATAAAAGGCCCTACACTTACGACACGCTTTAGCCTATATATTTTTACGCTGTTAAACTTGGGGGATAAATAAATTGGAAAAAATCCACGTGGGAAAGGGACGATAAACTACAAGCTGCCAACATTAAGAAAGCAGGGTTGCCATGGTCTGTAATCATGTGACATTTTCAATTGATAATTTGACAAATGTAAACAATAAAATAATTTTTTTATAATTTTATGCGGTCGAATTCTCACGGAAACAGCTAGTATTGTCATATTTGTAATAGTAGAGGAAAAATTATGCAAGCTAAGAATTTAAATAACGTTTGAACGAGTTACTCTTAATTTCTAGAAAAAAATCAGCTATCTTTGTATCAATTTAAATCGATATTTTCAATATAAAGTACATCACTATTTAACCCAAAGCGAATTACTGCAATACCTGAATAAATATTTGTCCCGCCAAAAAAACATTTTTTTTTAAATTATGTAGAAAATATCTATGCATTGTAATTGGGAGTATAAATTAAAGCGACTTCTTGTTTTTCAAACCAGTTACTTCGTTGCATTTAAAATGATTCGTACATTCGGTAAGTTATTAAGCTTTTTTTTTGTTTTTTTTTTCAAGTATTTTTTCTCTCAGGAGATTTTTTGTTATTTGAACTGCTTCAAATAGAATTTTTAAAAACTGATACATGATTTGAGGTTGATTCAGTTTTGTCCTGTTAAAAAAAAAATATTTGGATACAGTTTCGAAATTTTAAAAAATTACTTGCTTAATGAGTTTTTCCATTTTATATTAGCATAACTTGTATGTCAAATTGATAATTTTAATGCATTAGTAATAGTTATAACAAAAAATGCAATATCTTGTTTCAACTTAAACAACTGTTATTCTTTGAGTTTCGTATTCGGTAAGTTCATATATGTAATAACTTAAAGAAATAAATAAAATAAAATAATAAAAACCTCTTTATTGTCATCATATACATTTACATACAGTGAATATATTTAACAAAAAAAAATATGATAACAATGGGCTGCAGGCTCAGCGTATACCACATGGCCAATGCCACGCGGAACTGATTTTCAGCCTGTCCTTGTGGGCTAGAGCTAGAAACTGGAATTTACTAAAAAAATTGTTTCGGAAAAGAACATTCCCAAGACAGCTTGTCTTGGGGAAACACAGGGTTATGGGAATGCGATGTGTTGCAATCCCATAAAATCTGAAATCTCAAAGTGCTAAGATTGAACGTGGATAGCTACAAAGGTAGAGGGAGATCGAAGAAAGTATAGATGAATTATGTTTATTTTATAATATAAGGTGGCCAACGAGCAAGCGGCCACCTGAATCCACCAAAATGAAAAGCGACCGCTGCCCATAAACATACGCAAATGCAGATGCGTTGCCTACCCTTAATTGACTGAAGAGGAGGCGCATATTAAGGGGACATTTCCCCTTCCTATGCGTCTCCTCCACTGTCAAATCCACTTTTCCTCCCCATCCTTTCCTCTTAAGAAAAGGGCGGAAATGGAAACGGACTAAAAATTAGGCCTCCGCCTCATCAGACGAAACGCGGAATTGCTTTAACTTCCCGCCTATTTTCTGTGTGTGAAAGTGGATATGCTTAGGAATGGAGTGCATTCAGATATAACCATATTAATCGTTACTCGTTTAATTTCAAGCTTATTGTCAGAACTAGACAATACAGTCGGAATTTTTGACTTAATATTTAACAATTTTTTTTTTTCAGTTTTCGTGTTAACTTTGCTGTGCGTGTCGCAGATGGTGGCTTCTCAGGGCTGCCTCTGTCTTCCTATTTATATGCCGGTGTGCGGTTCCGATGGCAAAACTTACTCTAACAGGGCGTGCATGTATTGTGCCAACCCTAAACTAACTGTCGCCAAAGAAGGAGAATGTTGACATTTCACATCTTTGTATCCAAAAGAGTGTTCACATTAAAATGTTTAAAATATTTTTTTTTTTCACTAAATAATTATTGTATAAATGATATGTACTAATAAAGAAATTATTGTATCTAAAGAATTATTTTATCTACATCTGACTAACTGATAACTTCAAAAAATAATATGTTCCCTTCCCATCAGAGCCCAAAACCTCTACAACAACGACCCTTGATAACTTAAAATGGACTTTGAATGGACAAACGAGCAAGCGGACACTAGAATCCGCTAAAATGGTGAAGCGACCTCTGCCCATAGACATCCGCAATTGCAGATGCGTTGCCTACCCTTATACGACGGAGGAGGAGACGCACATAAAGAGGATAATTCCCCTTCCTATGCATCTAGTACCGTCAAATCCACTTCCCCTTCCCAACCTCTTCTCATAAGAAAAGGATGGTAAAGCGGAAGGGACTTAAATTAGGCCTCCGGCACCACACTCATTAGACGAAAGACGGAATTGCTTCCATTTCACGCCTGTCTTCGGTGTGGTCGTGGTATTACACAGGGCCGCCGGCCCATTCGTGCTAAGATGTTAAAACGGGCACTACCACTGTTAACAGCGTTGTCGGCTTTTGATTGCTTTTTTGAAATCATCATTACCAGCTTTCTATACGTCCTCACTGAAGGGCTCGAAGCCTACCCTAACTAAGGTTGAATAGGTTATAGTCAACCACACTGACCAACTGCGGGTTGGTTGACTTTACATATATCTATGAATTTCTTCGCCAATATGTGGAGGTTGCATCATTTTCCTTGAAATGTTGGTATTCAATTTAAATTTAAACTTGACTTACTCATGCGAACATCAAGGAAGAAGTCAAAGTTCTGATCGATGAGGAGATCTTCTTCGAGGTTGTCTCCAGCAAGTCCGTACCGATGACCAAGGAAACGAGCTATAGCGGTGCTCTGAGTGTGCAATTTGCCATTGAACTCGAATAATGGTAGTGTACCGTGAGGTGTTTCTGAAAACAAAATATTTACATGATACAGAAATAATTACAAAGGACATAGTTAATAAGGCAACACCTTTGACTAAACTATCGCCCAACTGTTATGCGATTTTCGATTGTTTCGCAGCTAATTCAACTGTTTCAACGAAAAGTCGCGTAGGAATCAAAGCGAGAGTAAACAGCTAGTCATCAATGATTTTGGAACACGGAACTACGTGTTGGGGACTAGCATCAATTTTTCACTTAACCACTAGTCGTTGGCCGTCAATTCTACGAGAGTCAATTCCATAAAGAGATTATTATCAACGACTACACGTTACATCGCCGTCAGATTAAAAAAAAAATCAAAATCGGTCTACCAGGAGGGGAGGTTTGCCATAATACACATAAAAAAACAGATTAGTAACTCCTTCTTTTGGGAAGTCGGTCAATTAAGAATTATCACCAAACGCATGCGAACCCTAACAACAAATGAAAACGGTTGTCACTTCGCGCTATGGCAGGCATGAATTAATGAAACTGCAGCCTAACTGGGAAGAGGATTTTATACATACTTGGCTTAAAATCCATCCATTCTTCTAATTTTATCTGGATGTCTTCGAATTCCTGTCCCCCGTAAGCCAGTAGAAGTCGGATACCCTCACCCGTTCCCTTCATGGCGAAGTATGTAAGCTTCACGTTGTCCATGATACTATTTTCTGAGAATCAAAACAAAAGTAAAAACCTACAACGTACACAAAATAAAGTAAATACAGTGGAACCTCGATAAGTTAAAGTCCAAGGGAAACACAAAATATTTTAATTTACAGAGGTTTTAAGTTATCAAGGGATATATTGTAGTTTTGGGCTCTGATGGGAAGGGAACACATTATTTTTTGAAGTTAGAAAGGTTTTTAAATTACCGAGGTTTGAGTTATCGAGGTTCTACTGTACCAAAAAAAACTAATGGACTTATAAATTAAACCATTACAACATTAGTAACATTTTCCCTTAGTAACATAATCTTATACAAGCTTTCGTCCTCTCCGTCTGCGTGGAATTTAAAAAATAAAAGTGAGTAGCCTATGTGTTCTTTCAGACTGTCGTCTACATCCACCCATCCATCTAAACTTTCGCATTTATAATATAAGTATGATTGATAAAGTTAAAAAAAAAACAAGCAGTTCAATATTATTTTTTATTCCGCTTTTAATTTACTATTTCATAAGCCAATATATACTTTTTTATCTTATGTAAAAAATAAATAAAAATCATTAAAAGTTATTTTGGTGTTAACCATACAAATAATTTTAAATATCCATTAATGATTTATTAAAAAAAAAACTATAACAAAATTTATTACTTACATAGGATAAAAATAAAATTCACAATCCAACCAGCAGACACACGATTGTAATGATGCGCAGACTACACCGGCAGCGGTATTTATTTGAACCACTTAGCTTTTTTTATCGCACACGGCCTTGATAGTGACCCTTATTACCTAGGACATAAGAATATTAGGTTAATGTTACGATGTAATCTTGATTCTAAGGATTTGATGAAACTTCGTAAAAAGGAATTAAATCATAAAATTATCTAGGCCTTTTCCTGCATATACCTGCCATTAAAAGTTCTTTGATAATTGGTTGGTTTCGAAGATTATCCGGCGCAAATGTTGACTTTACAGACAGACGAAAAAAATAGCTTTTCTTTAAAAGTAACGCAAATTAAGTACAATACATAAAATATTATTATTACATACAGACATTTCATTTTCATTTGTACGTAGGGAATGTATACTTGACGTCAAAAATAAATAGAGCACTTTTAAAATTAAAATTTCTTCTAAACTATTAAAGCTTTAGTTAAGAAACGTGTTTATAATCTTCACATATTTCAAACTTTCTCTAAAAGAAGTTAAAACCGAAAGACCTACAAATTTAACCAAATGCCAACAATTTTAACATCGTCATTTTCGCTTTATTAACCTTTCTTTCGACATCGACTCCGTCCGCGTTGAATAACGAAACAAAAGTAAGAAGCCTATGTGTTCTTCCAGACTATGCTCTACATCTGTGCCAAATTTCATCGCGATCTAGTCAGCCGTATAGGCAGAAAACTCTAATAAACATCTAACTTTCGCATTTAAGATAGTACGAAGTAAGACTTTTACCTAACATGCCTCCTTGGATTTATATAAGCTTTGACATCCTTGATTTGCTGTCTTATATGCCTAGAACTAGTAGTCTTGATTTTAATACAATACTTAGGTACTTAGAATGTAAGCAAAGAGCTTACATAGGGTCTGCGGAGTTAATAAGAATAGTAAATAGTAAATTTGTACTTAAATGTGATTTAACCCTAACTTTTAACACTCTACTCTTTTAACAGTGGTAGAGCCCGCTTTAACATCTTCGCACACACGGGCCGGCTCGCCCGGTGTAATACCACGACCACACAGAAAACAGGCGTAAAGTGGAAGCAATTCCGCGTTTCGTTTGATGAGTGTGGTGCCGGAGGCCTAATTTTAGTCCCTTTCCTTTTCTTAAGAGGTAAGGATGGGAAGGAAAAGTGGATTTGACGGTGAAGGAGACGCATAGTAAAAGGAAATGTACTCTTTATCAGCGTCTCCTCCTCTGTCAATGAAGGATAGGCAACGCAGATAATTGCGGATGTTTATGGGCAGCTGTGGCTTTCTATTTCGGTGGCTTCAGGTAATCGCTTACTCGTTTGCCACCTTAATTATAAAAAAAAAAATAAAGTTTGTATTACAAAAATCTATTTGAGTAGGTTGTAAGTTTATTTTTAAAAAAATATTATGTAAAACCCTAAAAAAATATTTATAATAGAACTTTAACTACAATAGTAAGAAATTGAATTTAAAAAATAAATTGTACTACTTATTTTGGACGTTGAGTGAAATATTTTTTTTTTTGTTTTACGTATGCTATTTTTAATGCTGAATCCAATAATCAATTGATCCTTTTTTTATCGTTTAATGATTTTTTTCATTTTATTAATATTATTTTTTATCGTTGTGTAATTATGTCTTGCACAATATTTTCGTACATAATCATGTATCCGTCGCATTACATGATAATTCCAAAATGTACAATAACGATGATTATGCAACTCTCAGCATAACAACAGAAACGATGAATTACTTATTTTTAGTAACAAGAAAATTTGCCGACTCATCGTGATTCGGCGAATTAAAAAATGCTTCTCTGTGAAGTCGGTTTATGAACGACATAAGATAACGACACAAGCCGTACGGTAATAGGGTCGTTCCTCTCTTTCGTATATTAGCCGTCTCACTCAAGCGGTGACAATGATTTTTCTGTAAGCTCAGTGCCGGATTAAGCCAGCGCGGGACCTGTAACATTTGCTACTCTTGCTATATGGCTAATTCGGCACTGGTATAGCTGCGTTCATTTTAACAATATAATAAATGCGAAAGTTTAGATTGGTTTTTGTTACTTTATAGCCTAAACAGCTGAAGGGATCTCGATAAAACTCGGCATAGATGTAGAGAATAATCTGAAAGAACACATGACGTTATTTACTTTTGTTTTTTTTTCCACGCGGAGTCGCAGGCGAAAGCAAGTCGATTGATAGTCTGTGCAGAAAAAAAAGGGTGTAGAGCAGAGCAGATTTTTATCGCAAATAAAATTGAGCTTTATGCAATTAGAGCAAGGTATAATTTCACGTAGCACGTCTTTTCAATACTTGCTGCTGATAAGAAAAAAGGCAAATCATGCAAAGTTCTATTTGCGATAAAAATGCTGATCAGCACTACACTACGATATGTGTTAACTGTCTTTAAGAGCATGCGTTCACCTTTGACCAAACTATCGCACAACTGTTGTGCGATTGTCAATTGTTTCGCAGTCGAAGTCGGCCAAGCTGTTTCGGAGATGAACCGGAACAAACGCGGCTTGCGGACAGACAGACAGACAAAAGTTTTTTAAATGTGATTTCCGTTATCACAAACGCATAAAACATCTAGAATCTAGAATTTTTCTTTGATGTTACAAACAGACACTTCAAATTTATTATATGTATTGTATGGACATAGAGGAAGATTCATTCTGTATGAAATAAATGTATTTGACTGAATGAATGATTGAACATTTGATAGAATGTATGTACTCGTATTTAACAGTGGTAGAGCCCGCTTTAACATCTTCGCACGAATAGGCCGGCTAGCCCGGTGAAATACCACAACCACACAGAAAACAGACGTGAAGTGATCGCAATTCCGCGTTTCGTCTGATGAGTGTGGTGCCGGAGGCCTAATTTTAGTCCCTTTCTTTTCGTCACATTAGATAACCCTTAAATTATCAGTATTTCTCTATTGTATTACACATCTGTTTTATTTTTTATACAATAAGGTGGCAAACGAGCAAGCGGACACCTGAATCTACCAAAATGGCGAAGCGACCGCTGCCCATATACATCCGCAATTGCAGATGCGTTGCCTACCTAAATCGACGGATGAGGAGATGCACATAAAGGGGACGTATCCCCTCTTATGCATCTCCAACATCAAAACTACTTTCCCACCCAATCCCTTCCTTATAAGAAAAGGGTGGACAGGAAAAGGACTAAAATTAGGCTTCCGGCACCAGACCCATCAGACGAAACGCGGAATCGCTTCCACTTCACGTCTGGCTTCTGTGTTGTTATGGTATTACACCGGGCGAGCCGAACCATTCTTGCGAAGATGTCAAAGCGAGCTCTACCACTGTAATCGTTGCCGATATGCTGTTATTTATTGAAGAGTTCCTTCAGATGTCATAGAAGATCTTCATCAGGAATACGATGCTCTACTTAAACATGCTCTATGGTCTTTCAAATCATTATCAACCTTTATCTGTCCACTGTTGGAAATAGACCTTGGCCAGTATCACTGCGCACCAATGCTGCTCCACCTGGATGGATGACGCCCTACGCGCCTAGTCCCCGTTTTACAAATGAAGACATAAAAATATACATGGATAATCCAATAACTGTCAGTCATACAGTTTTACTTTATCCCTCCATAACTAGTTGGCTTTTGTTTAATAATTTAGAACCATCATAATCTGCAGCATATGCAGCATAAGCCTGCAATACCACGACCACAGAGAAGACAGGTGTGAAGTGGAAGCAATTCCACATATTATCTGGTAAGTGTGCGTTTCGAAAACTAAAATTTCATTCTTGTGTCTATTTCCACCCTCGTAAGCATAGGATCGGAAGGAGGATTAGATTTTGCAGGCAATGTGAAGATAATATGGAGGAAATTTTATTTTTCTGTACGTCCCCCTCTCTGTTAAAAAGATAGGCAACGCATCTGCAATTGCATCTATAAGCAGCGGTCGCTTCGCTGATTCGAATTCCGGTAGACGGTTGCTCCTTCGTTAGTACAATAAAAATACAAAACTATTTAAAGAAAGTTTTTAATTTATCACATTATAAATTAATTAACAATAGAGTAACAAAGTAACAGTAGAGTTATTTATAATTATTCTGATTTGGATTGCAAATATTTTTTAATAGCTGGCAGGTTAGCCACGGTGTCCCTCAACTGTTTGAAACTGGGGTACTTCTCATCAAAGTCTGGATACAGAGATTGTAGCTTGAAAGACTCATAGAAACCGGCGAAAGCAAAATCAGCCCATGTCAACTGAAACAAATCATAATATAAGCATATGTCTTGAATTTTCACTATAGAAAAATCTGCAAAAACATTATGTAATCAAGTTTTTTTTTGGGAAAAATATCTTTTTTAAATTACAACATTGATTTCTAAACATGTTTTAAATTGTTTTCTATTTTAGTGATAGGAAATTGTGACTTTTTTAAATTAAACAAAAATACAATTAAAAAAACTCGTTCATCATCATCATCAACTTGCCCTTATCCCGTATGGAGGGTTGGCACAGTATGTGCTGCGCTTTCATACATCTCTATCAGCCGTCATATCTGAATCCACTCCTTTCTTAAGCATATCCTCTTTCACACAATCTATCCATACTTTCTTCCGTCTTCCTCTTCCTTTGTAGTCATCCACATTCATTCTTAACACTTTCTGATTGGTGTCCCTATCGTCGCGTCGCAACGTTATAAAACCTCGTTCGTTTGGATTAAAAAACACATAATTGTATTGGAGTAAACATGTGAAAGTTTATATGGATATTTATTATAGTTTGTAGCCTAAACTGTTGATCTGAGCTCGACGAACTTTAGCATAGATGTAGAGAATAGTCTGGGAGAAAACATAGGCTACTTACTTTTGTTTTTTTTTTTTAAATTGCGGTTTAGTAGTAGATTAGGATTAGTAAGATAGTATTAAACTTTCGAATACCATTAAATTCTTTAACTTACCCTTCCTAGAGCCATATGACCGTTGTTTTCACGGAGAATTTTGTCCAGCTTTGGCAGTAAATCTGGGTACACCGACTTAACGAGGGCTTCTTGTTTTACTGCCTTTATACTCGCATCAGGCTCCCAGAATGATTGAATTCCCTCTAAAATTACAAAGAAATAAAATACATTTAGAAACAAACTTGTCTTCAGGTTTTAGATAAAAGATAACCTATAAACTTAATTTTAAAAACGAAACAACCTACACTAAATGTGTTTCTGCCCACGTGTGTATTTTACGTGTATAGTAGCGCCAGTGGTGGAGAAATTTAGAAGCAAAAGGTTAATGTGGTATGGACATGTCATGCGACGAGACGATGGGGACGTAAACCAGAAAGTGTTAAGATTGAATGTGGATGGCTACAAAGGTAGAGGAAGAACGAAAAAAATGTGAATGGATTGTTTGAAAGAGGATATGCTTAAGAAAGGAGTGGATTCAGATATGACGGCTGACAGAGATGTATGGAAGAGCAGCACATACTGTGCCGACCCTCCTTAAGGGATAAGGGCAAGTGGATGATGATGTAATATACACAATAGTTCTGAGAGAAAGTAAACTAATCGTGTTAACTTCACTCGTCAAAATCCTTACTAAAATTAAAAAGAAGAAAGATTCCTATTTTCGTATGTATTAAATTACCTAAAAAATTACAGGGCCAATTTCAAAAATTCTTTTACCATTAAAAAGCTACGTTATCACTGAGTAACAAAGATGTTTTCTATTATTTTTAATTTCACACGGACGAAGTCGCGAGCAACAGCGATTCGATTATCTCGATCGATTATTAAATCTTACTAATCTTACTAATATTATAAATGCGAAAGTTTAGATGGATGTATGGATGGATGTTTGTTAGCGTTTGTAGTCTAAACGGCTGAACGGATCTCCATGAAATTTGGTACAGGTTTAGAGCATAGTCTGGAAGAACACATAGGCTACTTTTATCCCGGGAATAGTTACGGTTCCCGTGGGATTCATTAATTTAGTTTTTTAATGCTCACTCGATCATTCTGCAACGGTTCAACATATCTTATTGAAATTTAGCACAGATATAAAACAAAGTCTGGAGTACACATGGGATAAGCTTCATCTCAGAGAAATGTCCGGTTCCCGAGGGATACGTAGCTTTTTGTAGTTTCTATAGTTTGTATGTTTTCTATTACCACGCGGACGAAGTCGCGGGCAACAGCTCGTCTAATTATAAAATTAAACTCATTGTAAAACTTACTGTTACGAATATCAGCGTAGAAGTCAGCATTTTGATCGATAACTAAATCTTCCTCTAAAGTCTTCCCGCCGAGGCCGTATTTCTTACCAAGGTAACGGCAAATGGAAAAACTCTGACCGTACACTTTGCCGTCGAATTCCAGCAGGGGCACTACACCATGTGGGGTTTCTGAAATTATATCAAACATCAATGTATAAATTTCTTAAGCTAGAAAGCAAACCAATGGTTTCTTTTTTTAAGTGGGATCTTCAAAGAATTTTCACGTAAATTATAGTTTAATTCAGTAAAAAAATATTTTTTTGCGTATAACACACGCAAAAAATGTTATTTTGTAAATAAACATAGGAATGCTAAAAATATCGTCCGATATAAAGACATAAGAATTAAGCATTAAATTGATAATCTATTTTTGTATTAAGAATAGGTAAATACTATACTATGCACAGTTTATTCCAATCCAGTTGTCAAGTACGCTTTTATGGCCGGAAAATAAACCCACACTAGTTTGCAATACATTGCAGTTATATATACATGTTACTAGTTGCACACCCGATGGAACAAATCACTGGATTGGAGTAACCCGGTGTATGTATCTTACTGGTGTAAATGCGAAAGTTCAGGATGGATTAATGTTTGTTAGAGTTTGTAGCCTAAACTTCTGGATCTCGATGAAATTTGTCATGAATGTAGAGTATAGTCTGGAAGAACACATAGGATACTTTTTTAATTCTACGAGGACAGAGTCGCGGGTGAAAGCTTGTAAACAATATTATGACATACTTGGCTTGAGAGCAGGCCAGTCCGCGAAGCCAACGCGGATGTCTTCGAATTCCTGACCTCCGTAAGTTAAGAGCCATCGGATCGCCTCACCGGTGCCAGCGCCGTCGAAATATGTTACTTTAACATCCTTCATGGTACTGCAAAAGATTAAAAATTGTGTTAACCTAAAAACATTAATAGTGTTTAGTAAAACACGTGTTTCATGTTTACAGTATGAGTAATTTATTTAGTAACTGTTGCCCACGATTTCGTGAGCATAGTATTAAAAAATCATACGAAAAAAAATCTGTTTATCTCTCGGGAATCTGATATTTTTTAAGTATAGGCGATATTCCAGACTTTGCTTCATATCTGCCCTAAACATAAGTGACAACAGTAAACACATAAGAGAACTTTAAACTCGTAACATAACATTTGTTTTTATCGTTAAAAAACTAGATTTTTATTAAAGTATCACCGTGCAGCTTCATCCGAATCGAATTATAATTACTTTACTTTATTGTTTATATTTTTCAAATGTCAAAATACAAATGCATAAATGACAACCTTGCTTCCTTAATGTTGGCAGCTTGTAGTTTATGGTCCCTTTCCTACATTAGGGTCTTTATCCAAAATATTTGCCCCTAAGTTTAATAGCGTGAAAATGTAGCGTGTCGTAAGTGTAGGGCATTTTTTCAATGAAAGAATTATTCAAAAATATTCTGTAATCGCTGACATCCTACACCACAAAGTAGTGTGTGTTTACGCTTTATTATATTAGTATATAGAAGTACAGATTAACATATTTATTGTTATCTACTCGTATATCTATACTATTATAATAAAGCGTAAACACACACTTCTTTGTTGCCTAAGATGTCGGCAATTACAGCATATTTTTGAATAATTCATTTTTAATAAAAAGCCCTACACTTCCGTCACGATTTAGGCTACATATTTCACGCCATTAAACTTAAGGGGTAAATATTTTGGATAAAAAACCCTTATGTGGGAAACACACCATAAGTTGTTGCCAACCTCAACGAAGCAAAGTTGCCATGGTTTGTCATCATGTCATTTCTTTTTGACATTTGCTATTGATAATTTGACACAAGCAAACAATAAAATGAAATTTCTTAATATTATGCGGATAAAATCGCACGGAACAGCTAGTAATTAAATAAAAATATACTTACAATAAATTGTTTTAGTTTCACAAGCAACGTTACAACGTTTACTGCAGACTGTATTGTAATTCTGCTCACAGGAACATTTATATCATCATCGGTTGATATTTCCTACACGTTTGTGACTTGCATTTTTTTATCGATACGATACCGTCGAAAAATATTTAATAGTACTATTAAATACCAATTTGGTATGACATCATTATTTTAAAACTGTACTAGGGAACTTGAATTCAAAACTTAACTACAGGACGTCCTGTATGTCGGAGGTAACGGATAGCTTTTTGACCGACTTCCCAAAATAAGGAGGTACTCAATTCGTTTAGTTTTTTTTATGTTTGTTACAGCATAACTCCGCCGCTAGTGGACCGATTTTGATAATTCCTTTATCCGAAAGGTAGTGCTTGTTTTCTTATTGTTGTTTAATCATAAGGCGTGGTAAACCTTGCCCTGGGCGCCAGTAATGCTGAAACCTGTAACAGCTCCTTGTAGTTTAGGATATTTTCGCTGAACTTTAAACAGTAATCAAGATTCAACTGTTTTCTTCACTTTAAGTTTATTAGTTTCAAACTAGTTTGAGTAGCCCCTGTGGTTGAGAATATAAGGAGTAAAAGGTTAGAATGGTATGGGCATGTTATGAGAAGGGATGAATCGCATGTTACAAGAAGGACGTTAGTTATGAATGTGGAGATACACCGGTAAAGGTAGATCTAGAAAGAGATGAATGGATTGCGTGAAAGGTGACATGATCAAGATGGGAGTGATGACTGAGATGACGGATGATAGTCATTTAGAGGACAAAAATCCGGTGCGCCGATACTACAGGAGTAGGATAAGGCAGGTGAGATGATGAATTGACTAGTTTCAAACAGAAATGCTTAGAATTCATCACATAACAACAAGTTTACTATGATTGCACAAGATTACACAATATGTACTGAATGAAACAATTATCATGTTTTTTACGTATCAGAATGATTATCATAATTTTTATGATTTAAAAACTACCGTTCGATAATGCTTAAAAATAATGCTTTATTTTTAAGCATTGGAAATTATTTATATACATAACTAATTAAAACTTGATTTAGTTTATATCTTCCTCATAATTGTACTTAATATTTTGGTTATCTTAAAATACTCTTCACACCTTCACTGTTCCGTTTTAACTACGTAAAACTAGTTCAGTAAGAAAACTTACGTAATGTCAGCAAAACTGATAAGTGTACAGTTTATCTGACAATTACAACGCTTCCTTAAGACCAATAAACAAGTTTAAATTATACTAAACTAGCTATTCCCGTGCGGCTTCATCCGCATGAATATGTGAAATTTTTTTTTTGTTTTCTTGTGTCAAATTATTAATACCAAATGTAAAATGACATGACAATTGGCAATCTTGCTTCCTTGATGTTGGTAGCAACTTATGGTCTCTTTCCCACATTAGGGTTTACATGAAAATATTTACCCCCTAAGTTCAATGGCGTGAAAATATATAGCCTAAAGCGTGACGTAAGTGTAGGGTTTTTTATTAAAAAATAATTATTTAAAAATATGCTATAATTGCTGACATCTTAGGCAACAAATAAGTGTGTGTTTACGCTTTATTATAATAGTATAGATAAACTTGTACATAGTCTTAACTGTACTTCTCCAGTCACTTACGTTTTCTCGAAGGTATAATTGTTCAATTAAAATGCAACTAAAACAGAAGTCTGTCGCCGTCTTTAAAATTAGCAATTTTTTGCAAGTAACATGAACATTAATATTTTATTACACAATCATTATTAGTGAAGAGATAAATAAAATGTATGCCATGTTTTTTACCAAGTCATATTGAATGTAATCTCTGTTTGTACTGTTAAAAAATATACAAAAACATTGTCATCCAATATCGACTTTAAAAAAATAACAATTGAATATTGATATTCTTTTTATATATACACTAGCTTCTGCCCGCGACTCCGTCTGCGTGGTATAATTAAAAACAAAAGAAAGTAGCCTATGTGTTCTTCCAGACTATCCTCTACATCTGTGCCAAATTTCATCCAGATCCGTTCAGCCTTTTAGGCTACAAACTTTAAACAAACATCCATCCATCTAAACTTTCACATCTTATGTTACTAATATTATAAATGCGAAAGTTTAGATGGATTAATGGATGGATGGATGTTTGTTAGAGTTTGTAGCCTAAACGGCTGAACGGATTTTGATAAAATTTGGTATAGATGTACAGGATAGTCTGGAAGAACACATAGGCTACTCATTTTTTGTTTTTTTTTAATTCCACGCGGACGGAGTCGCGGGCGAAAACTAGTTTATAATATTAGTAAGATTGATTTGTTAGCGTGAATCTGTTTCATAAGTTAATGTCAATGAAAAATCATGTTCGAAGTGAATATATGGTGCAAACGACAAGGACAACTATATTGCCAACGACCTTTATAACGTACTAGCTGTTGCCCGCGATTCCGTCCACGTGGAATTCAAAAAACAAAAGTGGATAGCCTATGTGTTCTTACAGACTGTCCTCTACGTCTATACCAAATTTCATCGAAATCCGTTCAGCCGTTTAGGCTACAAACTCTAACAAACATCCACCCATCCATCCATTTAAACTTTCGCATTGATATTATTAGTATGATTTGTGCCTATTTGATTACCGCCATTTTGTGAATGCCAGAATATCTAATTCTTAAAGATCTGCGTTTATTACACAAGCATTTCAATAGAAACCACAGTCATTGTAACAATCAAGTCGAATCATGCACTTTATGACAAATCACAAAATTGAAGGACATCATGATAAAAAAATGTTTTCAATAAATAAAAGGATGATAAGGCGTTTAAAAAATCACAATCTAATATAACAACGGCTAATCATGCACATAGTTTAATAATAAGTATTATTAGTATGGTATTGTAAGAACAAAACTCCATAGTTTTCTAGATTTTTCCAAGTACCAATTAAAACTCATCGACTTGCTAAGGAGGGTCGGCACAGTATGTCCTCTTCCATACATCTTCGCACGAATGTGCCGGCTCGCCCGGTGTAATACCACGACCACACAGAACAGGCGTGAAGTGGAAGCAATTTCGCGTTTCGTCTGATGAGTCCTTTCCCTTTCCACCCTTTTCCTAAGTGGAAAGGATGGAAAGGAAAAATTGATTTAACGGTGGAGGAGACGCATAGGAAGGAGAAATATCCTCTTTCTGTGTGTCTCCTCCTCCGTCAATTAACGGTAGGCAACGCATCTGCAATTGTAGATGTTTATGGGCAGCGGTCGCTTTCCATATCGGTGGATTCAGGTGATCGCTTGCTCGTTTGCCACCTTATATAATAAAAAAAAACCATCCATTCGGTCATCCTTTACCTTTGTAGCCATCTACATTCGATTAACTCTTGTTTATGGCTAAATGGCTAAATTAAAACTATCGCATTTTAATTATTAATGTTTTTATTAAATCCAAGATTATCTTCTCCTTGTACGCTTGCTTCTTGTGTAGCTTTAAAACGAGCCTGTTCCACTTGATCAATAGTGTCCATTAGAGGAGCGTCTTTAGTCTCAGGCGTCCTGGTTAAAAGGATACCAGAGACAACAGCGGTTATCCCAAAGATCATAGGTGGAAGAACCACGGACACCGAATTCTGAAATTTTAACATTACTGTTATCGGTTGAACCAAGAGCATCTGGTGGAATTCTCTGTCTCGCCCCACAACATACTCTTTGCCTCTAAAAGTACACACTATTTCTTATGAAATGGAACATTATGTTTATGTATTATGTTTACTACAATAAATCAATGTCGGCCACAGACTTATTAAGCATCTAGCTGTTCCCGTGCGGCTCCATCCGCATGAAATTAAAAACACTTTATTTTATTGTTTACATTTCTGAAATGTCAAAATTCAAAAGCATAAATGACATTGACATGTAACGTATGATCCCTTTTCTTGGTTTTTATCCAAATTATTTATCCTCTAAGTTTAATAGCGTGAAAATATATAGCATAAATCGTGACGTAAGTGTAGGGAATTTTATTAAAAAAAGAATTATTTAAAAATATACTGTGATTCCTGACCTCTTACGCCACGAAGTAGTGTATATTTACGCTTTATTATACTTGTATAGATTTATACTATAACATATAATATATTGACTGTTTAAGTTCTAGCTTAGACTTGGTCTAACGTAGAGATATTGAATTATATCCTGCATTTTGAGGAAAAGGATATACTTACTAGTATAGGAGTCAGTGGTGCCAACATACTGCCCACGGCAGCACTGACGGAGCACACTCCAAGCAAGGTGCCTCTCACGCTGGTGGGGAACAGCTCCATTGTGTACGTGATCACTCCGGTGAAACACACCGACACTAACAGCTTACCCAACAAAAACACTGTTATTTTCAGCCAAGTATAATCTGGAAGAGAAAAAATTTTTTCTGATAGATTATCAGCCTCTTGGCTCAAGTTTTCATCAATTGGCTTGGAGCGGGCGCACACCTTTGACTAAACCATCGCACAACTGACGTGCGATTGTCGATTGTTTCGCAGCCAATTCAACTGTTTAGTTGCACAACTAAAAATCGAGTAGTGTGCGCACCTCCAAGCTCATAGGAATCAAAGCACGACTAAACAGTTGTGGGATACTTTAGTCAAAGGTGTGCTCGCGCTTTTAGTCGTCACTCCCTTAATTACAAGCAATCGATCCTTCTGCACCTACACTAGTGTACACGTCCACATTTATACTTAAAGTTTTACTTTTCACTTGCGATACTTCCAACTGATGTTATATTTATTCCAATTGAAATAATAATCACTAAACAAATCCAATAATTCTTTATCTGCCCACTGTTGGGCATAGGCCTTCCCCAATACCTTCCACAGATTGCGGTCCTCCGCCTTCCGCATCCAACGACTACCCGCCGTGCGCACTAAATCGTCGGTCCACCAAGCCAATAATTGAGAAACCAAATATATAATAATATGTAATAAGTACCTTCAGGTATCCATCCAGTTGCAGCGCAGAGCAGTCCACATAATAAATAACCATAAATCAAAGGAAATTTTCTACCTATCTTATTCATCAAATATAACGACATCAACTCCCCCGGATATGACATCACTGACGCGAGCATAAAGTTAGTGTATTTATTGCCAGGTAAGAAGACAGAATTCACCATCAATCCGTAATACACAAAGCCAGATGTGAATTTACAAAACGCCGCCACCAATGCTCGTTTTACCATCTCTCTGGATTTAAATATAGCTGTAAAACCTTCTTTTTCTTCATAACTATCGATATTAAATTCTTTCTTAAGATTCTCTTCAGTCATATTAAGTAATTTTTCATTGTCAATATTAACTTTGTTCACTTTAGCCACAAGCAGTAGTGTATTTTTGGCATTTTCCGTTTTGTTGTTAATCAATTGCCATCTAGGACTTTCTTTGATTACCAAAAATAGAAATATGGATAATATTGCAGGACTATAAATGATCAAGACCAAGTTCTTCCAATAAGGCACGTACATTGCAATAAGAGCGAAAAGTGTTTCGCCAACATATATAGCGTAAGCGAATATCACGCCAGCTAAAACTCTGTTCTTTTTACCGCCTATTTCTATCACTGAAATCAAAAAATGTAAGGTAGTTAAATGCTTGTTAACGCGCAACAGTGGCGCCACTAATCATTACAGCAATAGCAGTGGTACCGGGCGGACGTGCGTGTAAATTGCATCAAATTATTCGGTAATTTATAGATTCCTCAACAGGATTTTGATAAAGGTTATCATAATATTAAAGTGTTCATTTGTTTTATTATCGCGAATAGAATTATATAACTTACTTAATACCATAGCAGCTGTGTACCCCCCGCCAGAAATAGTCGCTTCTAACAATTCTATTATCACATAGACGTAGTACGTTGTAGCGAAGACTTTTAACAATCCAATACAGCTACCCAATGAGCACACTACTAACGTCGGTAAACGACCGAATCTGAAAAAAAACATCTTATAGTTATTAAAAAATAAATAGGAGGAGCCAAATTATGCAGGCCAGGATTATGGAAATTTATTAACATATCTAGCAGCCACAAATCTTAAATTTTGTTGTTCTGGCTTATAGTTGATTGACGGGATTCGAATAAACTTTAAGAAATAAATTCAATTGCAATACTTCTTCTCTTTGATAAATAGTACGTTACCTATCAGCCATCCATCCAGATGCCAACATAGCGAGCGACATGCCGATGTTATGAATTGTGCCGATTAGATTCGACTTCCATGGCTGGCAACCGAGATCGAGCTGGAAATAGAACAGAAAATAATTTAGAGTCCACAGTGTTAGGAAATAGAAGAAATTCATTAGTCATATAACTAACAGTATAATGCGATTACATCTTATCTTAAGGTAGATATTAGTGACTTATTAGACAATAAGGGTCATGAGAAACTAACACTAAAGGCAGCTATCCAAGGTTTATTACAACCTCTCATAATTACCACTTTAAGATCAATCTTTAGACTCTATGGTAATGACTTTAAATTTGGTTCATTATCAACCCATGTGTGGTAGTGCTACTGTGAGTTGGAGGGGACTAAGATACAGTCAACCACGCTTGTCTTGTAGTCAAAAGTTCAAAATTGTCATAATGATTTAAATTGATTTTAAATAATTCACTCGTGTCTTGCCGTCACGAGTTAATTTTTCTTTTTATAAAAAAGGGGGCAAACGATCGACGGGAACACAGCAACATCAGACGATCTATAGACGTTCTGTATAGTTCCTGGCCTCTGAGGAAATGGTAATGAAAGTTTAACGCTAAAAAGAAGACGAGCGCATGACGCTGTCAGTGCTAGTGGGGGGAGGGCATCGGCAAACCTTCGCACGAGTAATACTCGATTCTCGTCGTTTAATAAACAAAGTAATTCTCAATAGCACATGCCTTTAAACAATTCTACAGTTATCTTAACTATGTTTGCATGAACATTTTATAACACAGTGGGATTTAATAATGCTTATTTTAATGTAGTAAATGTCTGTAAACAAAGAACAAACAACATTGTCGTATACTGTGCCAGTTATTTATAAAGATACTAGCTTTCGCCCGCGACTCCGTCCGCGTGGAATTAAAAAAAATAAAAACTAGTAGCCTATGTGTTCTTCCAGACTATCCTCTACATTCATGCCAAATTTCATCGAGATCCGTTCAGCAGTTTAGACTACAAACTTTAGCAAATATCCATCCATCCATCTCAACATTCGCATTTATAATATTAGTAAGATTTTCTCTTAAGATTTGACAGGATAACTAATGGCCATTCAGTTACATCACAAACGAGTACAATCTAATCATATAACAGTAAAGTTTTAGAATTTAGGTGTCGTCATCCTGGTCTGGGATCTCAATCTATAGGCAAAGACCACTTCAGTTTCCTACAAGTAAACATACCCCAGCAATAACTGTGTCATTACTTTCGTAGACCCATTCTGTGCAGACCGCGACTTCGTCAGAGAAACTGTTATTGGTGCACACTCCGGCTGGCGGCTGCTTGAGCAGCGGCCTCGTGCACCTGTCAGTGTGCGTGTTGGGCCACCACGTCGTGTTGTACACCGGATACTGACCATCACATTCTGGTATACGACATCTGGAAAATTTAACAAAAACTAAGAGCTAACGGAACGAAATGTTACAATGGACTATTGGATAGAAATGGTACTTCTAAATTATTTTGTATTAAAAAAAGAAGTGCATTTTATATCTATAAGTTTATACAAGGACTGCGGCAAATAGTAATCCGTAAAAACTGCCCATCCCCGAGGAATTCACCTGTGAGTTGTTTTTGTTGCTGCTCTAAAACAATTCAGCGAATCTCATTTTTACTAATATTACAAATAAGTCTGGATTTCGACGAAATTTGACGTAGATGTAGAGGATAGACTAGAAGAACACATAGGCTTGTTACTTTTATATTCCATGTGGACGTAGGCATGAATCGTATGTTACAAGGGCAACGTTAGTTTTTAGTGTGGAAGGGTACACCGGTAGAGGTAGAAAGAGATGGATGGATTGCGTGAAAGGTGACATGATCAAAACGGACTGATGACTGAGATGACGTATGACGTAACAAAAATGTTGCGTCGATTCTACGGAAGTATGATAATGAGGATGATGAGGTATATTTCGTCGGATGGATAAATATTGTCCACAGTACCTGTAGTTGATCTCCCCAGCGACGAAGACGTAGTTGACATTGAGCATGGTGACGATGACCGCTGGCAGACATATCAAGAAGTACTGCAGCATCTGATATCTGCCGAACTTCTCCATCGTCTCTATTATCTCCACCTCCTTCTCATTGCGTTCACCGTCATTCGATAGCATTTTGATCGTAATTGCTATTGGTTACAATTTTTACAATTATTTTAGACAAATTGAATTAAACTAATCACTTTTCTATAGTCAACAATAATAAAAATGTTATTAACACTCGAAGTTTTATGTAAACTTAAAAATTTATTATAATTCATAACACCTTTATTGAAAAAATGCACCTTTTTATTTGATTTAATGAAATTTTATTGCAATGATTTTTTAATTCCTGTATAAAAAGCTAGCAACCAGTTAACGTTACGCGATACCGCATAATTATTCAGTAGATAACATTATGTACAGTTTTATAGTTTGTACAGATTTCATCTCTCATTGACATCATATCTTAACACTATTTTAACAGACAATAAAAATATTAAACAATTTGAAAACATGAATATAAAACAACGCGTGTTCATATTTTATTGAATAACCAGCAATCAGGTAGTTGTAAATCTGGCTAATTGTATAGTTTATCTCACTAGATGATGCTCCCGACTTCGTTTGTATGAATTTTAAAAATATTAAAATTTATATGCTAGCTTTTTTAATGGTGAAAGGATTTTTAAAATGGGCCCAGTAGTTTTTGAATTACTTCAACACATACAAAAATACAAATCTTTCTTCTTTTTAATATTAGCACAGATCGTGCTAATGTTATAAATGTGAAAGTTTAGATGGATGGATGTTTGTAAGGGTTCGTAGTCTAAACGGCTGAACGGATTTCGATGAAATTTGATACAGATGTAGAGAAGAGTCTGTAAGAACAGATATGCTACTCACTTTTGTTCTTTTTTTTCAATTCCACGCGGACGGAGTCGCGGGCGAAAGCTAGTTTATCATAGATGCGAAAATTTTGATGGATGGATGGTAGAGTTTGTAGCCTAAACTGCTGGATCTCGATGAAATTTGACATAGATGTAGAGGACATTCTGGAAGAACACATAGGCTACTTTAAAAATCGAAAATGTAACTATTTTCGATTTCCAAAGTTTACGTGGGATAAAATAATTTTATTTAATCATATTTACTCGATAATTCTACAACAGTTCAACATATCTTACTGATGCAATACGCTTTTTTTTATCCTTTCGTACGTTGTGTAATATTTGTAAGAAGAAGCAGAGTTTGTCTCGTTACGAGCAATATTTTTTTCTGTTAGGCCACTGCGAGTTTCCGTAACTGTACATGTATTTTCCTATGGTTAACTTTTGCTATATTTTGTCAATATTAGCAGTCCAAAGGTTCAGAGATAATAACCAGTTTTATGTGTAAATTCTTTAATACCGAGTCACATCTACCCCTCATAGAGTTTATCGCAACTGTAAAGTATATTAAATAACTAACTTTTGCCCGCGACTGTGCGCACGGATTTAAAAGTGTATTTTATCTCCTCTGTCCTACATTAGTGCCAAACATAGAGATTATTTAACACTCGAAAACGTAAATAAGAATGGAAATAAAAAATAATTGTGTATAAGTGAGATTAGAATTCATCAACGATTTTTTTATTTCTCACTTTTACAGTAGGAGTTTTGTGACGAAGTAATATACCCTATGACACTCCTGGGAAGAAATCGAATCAAATGACACCTTATTCGTCAAGATTGGTTCAGTCGTTTAGGCTCTAAACCGTTACATACAAACCCACATGTATAAAATCAAACTATCACACGAAAAATACTATTTGTCAGTTGGTTAACATGAAAATTAATTAAACAATTGTGAATACATTAATTTTTATTCAATTCATGATTAACTTCTTGGTCGAGACCAAATAACTGGGAAAAGGTGAAGACAGAAGATGATTAACGTCTTGTACTCGAACGTTGACCGTAAGTTCTATCCAATTGTTCTATTGTGTCCATGAGGGGAGCGCCCTTGGTCTCCGGAGTCCGCGTCAAAAGAACCCCAGATACGAGCGCGGTGGCACCAAATATCAACGGTGGAAGAATTATGGACACCTCATTCTGAAATTGATATATAACAGACCATTAAACAAACTGTAAAAAACAAGGTGGCAAACGAGCAAGCGACCTGAATTAACAAGAATTAACTAGCTTTACTTCGTCTTATTCTCACCAGTATCGGTGTTAGTGGTGCCAGAACACTGCCTATGCCTGCACAAACCGAGCACACGCCCAGCATTGTGCCTCTCACACTTGTCGGGAACAGCTCCATGGTATACGTGATCACTCCGGTGAAACACACTGATACTATCAGCTTGCCCAACAAGAATAGAACCACTTTAACATCTTTGTATTCTGCAAGAGATATTATATACACATGTTTAGAACATATAGTGATTACCATAGTTTTCACCAACTTTTAGAGAATTACAATCAGAACTCGTTGCAGAATGTAAGTTGAAAATTTGAATAGTTACAGCGCATTGATAAATGCACATACTAGCTTTCTCAAGAGCCTCTGTAGCATTGAATTGACAAAAGCATACGATGTGTTCTTCCATACTATTCTCTACATCTATGCTAAATTTCATCGCGATCCTTTCAGTACTTTAGGTTACGTTACAAACGTCAATTCAAACTGTCACATATATAATTTTAATAAGATTTACCTTCAGGTACCGCCCCGCATGCCGAACAAAGCACTCCACATAATAAAAATCCATATATCAATGGAAACTTCCTTCCGTATTTATTCATAAGATATAAAGACATGAACTCTCCTGGATACGACATGACTGTCGCCAACATGAAGTTAGTGTATTTGTTGCCAGGCAAGAATACAGAGTTCACCATCAAGCCGTAATAAACGAAACCCGATGTGAATTTACAAAACCCTGCGACTAGAGTACGCTTTCTCATCTCACTAGATCTGACAACTGCTCCAAAACTCTCCCTTTTTTGGTACGTATCCATTTTAAATTCTTTTCTTAAATTTTCTGGTGACATATTCAACAATTTGTCTTTATTAATATTTATTTTGTTAACTTTCGCTATATGGAGTAATGAGTGTTTTGCTTTATCCGTTTCATTCACTAGCAATTGCCATCGTGGGCTTTCCTTGATTAAAAAGAAAAGTAAAACGAAAGTAATAACTGGACTGTAAATTATCAACACAAGTGTTTTCCAATAAGGTAGGAACATTGCAACTAGCGCGAACAAGGTCTCTCCCAAGTAGACAGCATATGAGAATATAACACCGGCAAGAACTCTGTTATCAACTCCTCCAATTTCTATCACTGAAAACAAAACTAAAGAATTCAATAAAATTATTATTAGTATCAGAGAGCGTCGATGGCTCAGTGGTTGTACTTGACTTGTAATCTACAGGTCCTGGGTACGAATCCCACCAATTTCTTATTATCCAATTGCATATATACTATTTACCCGACATTCTTACGGTGAACAACATAATGCAACCTGCATTTGTGAAAAAATTCAACGATACGTGTGTAATCCTCACTCAGCTAGAGTGGTTATGTCCTAGTCACGTCTAACATAGAGTAGGCTCCGAGGCCTCAGTGGAATATAATTCTAATAATTTATTTATTATTTGTTTTCCTTACTTAGTACCATAGCAGAAGTATAGGTGCCACCACCGATAGTTCCTTCCAAAAATTCTAGTATAATATATACAATGTAGGAGGTTGTAAAGACTTTGAAGATTCCAATACCACCAAAAATACCGCACAGAATCAACGTAGGCTTGCGACCGAACCTGAAAGGGAATATTATTAAGGAGGAATATCCAATAAATCGTACTAATATTATAAATGCGAAAGTTTAGATGAATGGATGTTTGTTAGAGTTTGCACACTTAACAGCTGAACGGGTCTCGTTGAAATTTGGCACACACGTAGAGGATACTCTGGAAGAACACATAGGCTACTCACTTTTGTTTTTTTTTAATCCACGCAGACGGAGTCTCGAGCGTCGTCTATGGTAGTTACTTATATTTATACTCGTAGTTACTAGATTTCTCCCGCGCCTCAATTAGCGTGGAATTAAAAAACAAAAGTAAGTAGCCTTTATGTTCTTCCAGACTATCCTCTACATCTATACCCAATTTCATCGAGATCCGTTCAACAGTTTAGGCTACAAACTCTCGCAAACATGCATCGTTTTCAGCTGCGAGCCATCGGTTGTCTCGCGGCTTTCAGCTCTCATAATTACTGAGTCTATGTAAACTGAACTGCAGAACATGTTCATACCTGATTTATGATTACAGATAATGTATGGATAATGGTTAGGAAATAAATATCCTTTATTATACATACCTATCAGCGAGATATCCAGAAGCGAGCCACGCTATCGACAAACCAACATTATGGACTGCCCCGATCATATTTGACTTCCATGGATGACACGCGAGATCTAACTGAAAGTTGTACACCTAATCAATAATGTTATAATAAATACAACAATTACAGCCTGCGCACACCTTTGACTAAACTATCGCACAACTGTATGCGATTGTCAATTGTTTTCCAGCCAATTCAACTGTTTAGTTGCACTATAAATCGAATAGTGAACACACCTCCATATAAGTTCTTAGGAATCTAACTAGAACTAATCAGATGTGGGATAGTTTAGTAAAAAGTGTACGCACGCTTTTACAAAGGTACAAGAACTAATACGCATTCGTATTCACATGCTCAATATTGTAATGTCACTTTTAAGAAGAAATTATACCCATGACATTAAGGGCCTGACCCACCAATTCGTATAATGTCTGATTATAATCGAAAGTGTGTGATGGAAATGTCAGATTTTGTTCCCTTATCTGCCAGTTACGTATAAGCTATCTGAGCCTCTATCAGCCAGTAGTGGGACAGGCCCTAAGAGTTTCAAACTCAAATATCTTTTTAATTATATTCCCTATACAATATCACCTTCTAATATATACAAACCTCTGTTATTACTGTCTCGTTGGTTTCATAGACCCAATCCGTGCACTCTTCTAAATCGTCAGAGAAACTCTGTTTTGTGCAAGCACCTCCAGTGAACTTCGGCTTTTTGCATCTGTCTATATGTTTATCCGGCCACCAAGACGGTTTGTACTCCGGATACCCGGTGGATGTATCACATTCTGGAATACGGCAACTGAAATGATAAACCAGGTATTACCAGAGTAATGCAGGTGTGGAAACCCAGTGGGATTTCACGATAGAAGAGAAGGGTTCTATAGTTTTTTTTTTATAATATAAGCTGGCAAACGAGCAAGCGGCCACCTGAATCAATCGAAATGGAAAGCGACCGCTGCCCATAAACATCCGCAATTGCAGATGCGTTGCCTACCCTTCATTGACGGAGGAGGAGACTTTAAGTGTTTTTATTAAATTTATTTACCAACTAAGTTTAATGTCGTGAAATTATATAGCCTAAAGCGTGACGTAAGTGTAGGACTTATTATTAAAAAAAGGATTTTTGAAAAATATTTAGTTTTTGCTGACATCTTATGCAACAAAGAAGTGTGTGTTTACGTTTTATTATAATAGTATAAATAATATAGATATAGATTAATATGATAAAAAGGAAAGATTTGATTGCATTGAGTAGGCTCTGAAACTACAGAACCGATTAGAAAAATTCTTCTGCCGATGACTCGTATGTTCTTTGCGGACCAGGCGAAGCTGGTACGGATCGCTAGAGATGAAGCAATGCGTACCAATAACTATTATGAATACGTACCGATAATTAACCTCACCAACGACGAAAATGTAGTTTACGTTATACATGGTGATAAACATCGGAGGCAGGCAAATTAAGAAATATTGCACCACTTGGTATAAACCGAATTTTTCCATTGTATGTTCAACATCGATTTCCCTCTTATTTTTTCCAGGCATTTTGACGACATAGATTTGAAATTAGTGAAGTGAAATCGATGTTTTAAATCGATTCAATTAAAATTAGTCAATTTGAAGACATCCGTTTCTTTTAGTAACTTGATTTTATTAATTAGGAAATCTAATTTTTAAAAGATAATTGTAATCTCCAATAGTTTAATTAATGCATTTTACATCTTCCAGAAAGTTCCTTGACACTACAAAACACATAAATATGTTACTTATAATGTAGGTTTGAATAATATTAAAGTTTTTTTATAACTCAAGCTTTAATAGCATTAAGATGGTATTTTATTGGTTATGAAGTCGAGTATTGTAAAATCCAAGACGAATGTTAATTTGGACTTCTTATTAGTACAATTGACTAGCTTTCGCCCACGACTTCGTCCACGTGGAATTTAAAAAAAAAAACAAAAGCAAGTAGCCTATGTGTTCTTCAAGACTATGCTCTACACCTGTGTGAAATTTCAATGAGATCCGTTCAGCTTTTTAGGCTACAAACTCTAACAAACCATCCATCTAAACTTTTGCATTTATAATATTAGTAAGATTTTGAATAAGGTTTTCATTATATAGTTTTATTAGATAATACATTTGATTTGAAAATAATTCATTATTTTAACAATGACTTGTATCTACTTGTTACTGCGGGTTTACAATGGTGAGGTGTCAGTCTTTAAAAAAGAAATCAAACTATCTAAAGGATCCTTACCCTGATATTCTAAAAGCATATCAATCATCAATTGCACAATCCCCAGAAAACCTACGTTTATTATCTATAGCATTACAAACGTGTACATTAGATAATTATATCCCACAATAATGTGATTCAACAAGATATTAAACGATAAACATAATACCTCCTATTTGTATATGAATTAAAATAAATAATGACGAAAGAATTTGTCACATTGCCAACTGCCAATCACAATGACAACTTACAGATGTTAATGTTTCCTTTGACAAAGAAGAACAAGTCCAGAAATAAAGTTTTATCTTCCTAATATTATTAATGCGTTCAGATTATTGTTTGTTAGCATTTGTAGCCTAAACTGCTGATCGGATTTAGATGATGTGCCATAGATGTAGGGGTTAGTCTGGAAGAACACGTCGGTTACTTCCTTTTGTTTTTTTAATTGACGCGGACGCAATCGCGGGCGAAATCTAGTAATTTCATTACTTTCTTATTCTTATCTCCGTCACCCTCCATCATCATCTAAATTATCATGTTGTTGACCTTATCCCGCTAATATGAAATCGGCATAAGGTTTGAGAAACTGTTGTAACTGTTTTGATTTAATATTTAATTTCGCAAATCCGGAAATCTCTGTTTACGAACATGCTGATCCTTATTTTATATTTCGACTAGCTGTTGTTCGTGACTTCGCCCACGTGTAATTAAAAAAATATAGCCTATGTTACTCATAGATATGTTGTATGATATGTTGTAGATATGTTGTTGTATGTTACCTTTATAACGGTGAAAGAATTTTTAAAATCGGCCTAGTACTTTTTTAATTATTTCAATACATACAAAAATACAAATCTTTCCTGTTTATAATAATAGTATAGATTAAAGTTGGATCAGGATAATTTGCTATTTCGGAATTACAGGCGCTTCTTTGTTTTTTTTTTACAGCAAACGAGTAAGTGGCCATTTGAATACGCATAAAGTAGAGAAATTACTGTTACCCATCTCAAGAAAAAAAACAATACTACTATTGTTACGTATTTATTGCTTGAAAATTGTTTTTAACTTAACCTAACATGAAACTTTACACTTCTTCATTACTGACGTAAGATTCATTTATTTGCCCTTTCATTTTCTCTTTCTTAGTACTTTCTTGTAGATTTATCTCACGGTCAACTTGCTCCACCGTATCTACAAGAGCAGAGTCCTTAGTCTCTGGTGTCATTGTGAGGAGTAAACCGGCAACAATAGACAAACCACCGAATGTCAACGATGTTAGAATGGGAGAAAACGTTTTCTGAAAAATAATAATAGAGATTGAAAAAAAACCATACTTATTCTTTAAAAATGAAGAACACGATGAATTGAATCCTGAAGAAAAGAAAATTTAATACCTCACTTGACCGAGCGGTTCAGTCTCTAATGGTACAAGCCTAATTATTACAAGTTCATCTTAGTATTAGGTAATGTAGATTTATTACTTAAACGTTACTATACTTTCAATTGTCAATTGTTATGGTAAAAATGTAGAAAGCCACGTAAAAATATCACTGCATACTTCGGCTGACACCGACATCAAAACAGCTACAATAAGGTAGGTTTACTATTTTCAAGGAATTATTTCGTTACTTTTTATTGTACTGTTTTTTTGAGAATATTTAATTTTTAGTGTATTTTGTTTAGAAGTCAATTTTGTTTTTTTTTAATTGAACACTAACTCGGAAAGTTAGTTACAAAAAAAAAATAACTTACCATTATTGGCGTCAAGGGTGCAAGAATGTTACCAATGCTGGCAGTTAAAGCAGATATTCCAATTAGAGTGCCTCTAACACTAGTGGGGTATAATTCAATGGTATATGTCACTATCCCTATGAAGCAACCGGACACCACCATTTTACTGACCAAAAAGAAAGCTGTATTCACCCAAGTGTAATCTGAAATAACACAAAGAACAAATTACTAAGAAAATTTAACTAAGCCAGGATAGGGGATGCCTAAAGATTTTTTGATTCCTAAGAAAATCATCACTAACTCTATCTATTGATAAATCCCCAATGGATGCAGCTAACAATAGTTTTGTAAAATCATCCTAATATTATAAATGCAATGCAAATGTTATGTTTAGATAGATGGATGTTTGTTAGAGTTTGTAGCCTAAACGGCTGAATGGATCTCCATGAAATTTGGTATGGATGTAAACGATAGTCTGAAAGAATGCATAGGCTACTCACTTTTGCTTTTTTTATTACCACGGAGATGGATTCACGGGCGAATGCTAGTAATTTTATAAAATCTATAGTAATGCTATAAAGAGGAAAGATTTGTATTTTTGTATATATTGAAATAACTCAAAATGTACTGGGCTGATTTAAAACTTTCTTTCACCGTTAGAAAGGTAATTTCGCGCGGACGAAATCACGAGCAACAGCCATTTTATTAAATGTAAATACAAGAACACAAGGTATCACTAAGCTTGACAACTGATATGGTAGCTTTCAGAGAAAGTACCGGTGAAAAAACATTTTACGATGCCTCATCTATAAAATTAAATATAGTTTATGTACCACTTACCATCGGGAAAGCAAACAGAAGCAATACAGAGCAATCCACAAATAATATAACCATAGACAAGTGTTATCTTCCTACCAACATTGTTCATCAAATACAGAGCCATTATGTCTCCTGGATACGACATCACTGACGATAAGAAGAAATTTGTATATTTGTTACCAGGAAGAGACACAGAGTTTATCAGTAGGCCGTAGTAAACGAAGCAAGCGGCAAATCTAGCATACGATCCAATCACAAGTCGTTTTACAATCTCTTTCGATTTCATCGCATCTCTAAATGTCTCTTTTTGCTGACAGTTCTCTATTTTAAACTCTTTTTTTAGATCTTCCCCACTCATACTTAATAATTCATCCTTGTTAATGTTAACATTATTAGTTTCTGATATCAGAAGAAGTGTTTCTTTAGCAAGATCAGTTTTCCCGTTTACAATTTGCCATCTGGGGCTCTCCTTTAAAAAGTACACGTAAGACAGGATAAAGATGGGCGGTGTGTAGATGACTTTAAGCAGACTCTTCCAGTATGGGACGAAGAATGCCATGGCCGCGAACACAGACTCCCCCATGTATATCCCGAACGCAAATATGACGCCAGCTAATAGTCTGGTTTTCTTTCCACCAATTTCCATCACTGAAATATTTAAAAATATCTCAGTTATACATATAACGTATAACGTATACAGTAATTTACTTTTTACTAATAATATAAACTAGCTGTTCCCGTGCGGCTCAATCCGCATGAAATTATCGAAACCGATCGATCGATCGTTAGAAAGATAATCTGTGAATAACATAGGCTATATTTTTTAATTCCACGAGTGCAAAGTCGCGAGCAACAGCTAGTTAGTTTTTGTTTATATATAATATAAGGTGGCAAACGAGCAAGCGGCCACCTGAGTCCACCGATATGGAAAGCGACCGCTTCCCATAAACATCCGCAATTGCAGATGCGTTGCCTACCCTTCATTGACGGAGGAGGAGACGCACATAAAGTGGATATTTCCCCTTCCTATGCGTCTCCTCCACCGTCAATCCACTTTTCCTTCCCATTATTTCCTCTTAAGAAAAGGGTGGAAAAGGAAAGGGACTGAAATTAGTCTTTCGGCACCACACTCATCAGACGAAACGCGGAATTGCTTCCACTTCACGCCTGTTTTCTGTGTGGTCGTGATATTACATCGGGCGTGCCGGCCCATTCGTGCGAAGATGTTAAAGCGGGCTCTACCACAGCAAAACAAAACAAAAAAGCTAGTTAGTGTTATTTTCGAAACTTTACTTTTATTGAAAATACAAATTATTACAAATCCGTTACCCACTTAAAACGGAGACTGCAGTGTAGGCGCCTCCGGTGATGACCGCTTCTATCAACTCTATCAGCACGTAAATATAATAATTTTTTGTAAAGGCTTTTAGGTGTCCAATACAACTTCCAACCAGACAGAATATAAACATCGGCTTGCGACCAAACCTGGAGTAAAATAAAATATTTAATGCCAAAAAAGCCACATCTAATTCAATAATATCTTTTAAACTCAGAACTCTGAATTATGCGGTAGTTAAGGACTTGAAAGGGTCTTGCGTACTTCGGCCTGTTTACTTTTACATGAAAACCGTGTTACCCTGTTCTTAGCAGCATTACCAAAGCTTCAGTTACTTTAGTATACTGCTAAAAATAGCTTATGAATTGTAATTTTAATTTTAAGTACTGTGATTACATTTTTTTCGAGCGCCTGATACTATTTTATAGCAACAAAATATAAACTTACCTATCCATCAACCATCCAGAGACGATCATTGCTAACAGCAAGCCAATACTGTGAGTGGTACCAATCATGTTCACTTTCCATGGCTGGCAGCCTAGATTCAACTAGAAATTAAATGTATTCATTACAGTATTACACATATCACGATATACGAGTAATTTCTATATTAATGTCTCTCTTTCTCCCTCTCTAAGTGCGTCTCCATAAATGGAGGTTGGCGGTCAGTGAACTTTTTCCGGTCTTGTGCCAAGCGACATAGGTGTTCTACGCTGGCAATATGTATTAATGGAAAAGCTATAACCAGTGGTATTTTGTGTCTAATTCAATTTCGCCATTTTGTTTCTTACGACAGCGGTTAGTAGCGTAGATGGAATTTCATATTCTAATATTTTTATGGCCTGTCCTATCACTAGCTATTAGAGGCTCAGATAGCTTAAAAATACCACTGTCAGATAAGGTGCAAGCGCGCTCTATCCTTCGGCCGCGTCTTCACTTAGGTTAGGTGGAGTCGTGGTCAAGCGCTGGTTTATTTATGTTCAAAAAAGGTAACAAAATCCGATATTTCCATCAAATACTTTACACGTTGGTTTATCAGACAATTTACAGTTTGGTAGAACAGGCCCTTATTGTCATAATTAGTATACCAAGGGAAGAGTTAGAAGAAATAGTCTGTACATTGATGCAATATATACTACGTGATTCCTTATTGTAACAACATGTTGATCCACTTCGGTAATAATAACGAAGTAACGGCTCCCCCCGAGGCTCCTGAGGGAGCCCTCGAGCCTAGTTACTTATAAACGAGGTTTAGGCTAAACGCCATGCGCTCGGCCACCTCAAGCCCGGTGAATCTGTAAATACCTCTTACAAGGCAAACAGTGGCAACTCAGTCACAAAAAAAATGTTGATTTCACAGTTTTACTCAGTTTTACTCAGGTGCTCAAAGTGATAATGTATAATAAATGAGTAAGAAAAACATAAAAATATGTTAATTAAAACAGTAAAACTTTATGCATACAATTTAAACGAGGTTATATTAAAATTTAAAGTAAATAATTCACCGTGACGTCTGATCGTCGAATTGAAATAAAAATATAAATACTCGTATAATTTATACTTCTCTACCATATTACTATCTATCTATCTATCTATCTATCTATATTATAATAAATCGTAAACACACACTTCTTTGTTGCCTAAGATATCAGCAATCACAGCATATTTTCGAATAGCTCTTTTTTTAATAAAAAGCCCTACACTTACGTCACGCTTTAGGCTATATATTTTCACGCCGTTAAACTTAGTGGTAAATATTTTGGATAAAAACCCTAATGTGGGAAAGAGACCATAAGGTGTTGCCAACACAAGGAAGCAAGGTTGCCATGGTTTGACAATATGTCATGTCATTTTGACATTTGTAATTGATATTTTGACAAATGTGAACAATAAAATGATTTTTTTATTTCATGCGGATGAAGTCGCATGGGAACAGCTAGTTAGCTATAAGGTAAAAATAAATTTACTCACATCTGCTATAACCGTCTCATTAGACTCGTAAATCCATTCCTTACAATCTTCGTAATCATCCGTAAAACTGTCATTGTTGCAAGTTGGGCCAACATCGGTTCTGAGTATTGGTTTCAAACATTTGTCAATTGTATTATTTGGCCACCATATTGGACTGTACTCTTTGTTTAATTCGTCACATTCTGGTACACGACATCTAATAAAATAACATTTTACTTATAAATGAAAAAAATCAGATGGACGGATATTTTCTTTTTTATTCCAACAAAATACATTTTGATATAGTTAATTATGTTAACACAAACTGTTGCTATATCTCCAAAAGTACTTAACAGATCACTATAAAATTTGGCACAGATGTAAAACATAGTCTGGAAGAACACATAGACTATTTACTAATAGTGGTAGTGCCCGCTTTAACATCTTAGCACTGAAGGGCCGGCATGCCCGATGTAATACCACGACCACACAGAAGACAGGCGTCAAATGGAAGCAATTCCGTGTTTCGTCTGATGAGTGTGGTGCCGGAGGCCTAATTTAAGTCCCTTACTCCTTACCACCCTTTTCTCATAAGGAGAGGATGAGAAGGGGAAGTGGATTTGACAGTGGAGGAGATACATAGGAAGGGGAAATATCCTCTTTATATGCGTCTCCTCCTCCGTCGTATAAGGGTAGGCAACGCATCTGCAATTGCGGACGTCTATGGGCAGCGGTTGCTTCGCCATTTTGGCGATTTCAGGTAGCCGCTTGCTCGTTTGCTACCTTATGTTATAAAAAAAAATAAGATTTTTTCCGCGCGTAACGATTTGCAGTTATAAATGCGAACGTTTATGGGATGGATGTTTGTTAGAGTTAGTAGCCTAAACTGCTCAACTGATCGCGATTAATTTTGACATAGATGAAGAGTAAAGAAGAACATATAGGGTACTTCTTTTTGTATTTATGTAAATGAGATATATTGATGTCTATTACTGCTAACTTAACAGATCGAGATGCAATTAGTAAAAGATGTAGTTTATAAAAATTCATACCTGTAGTTCAATTCACCAGCAACGAACACGTAATTAATATGAGTTATTGTTACCAATAGAGTTGCCACAAACGAAAACACGTATTGTATCCTTTGGAATTTACCCAACCTCTCCATTGTATCACATATTGGTGTTTCATTGCTTTGATTGGATTTATACACAGCCATTTTACGTGTAAATCACGTAACAATCTTGTAGAAAATTTAATATAAAATTTGGTTAATACATAAACATATTTAAGAACTATCTTGATATATAAAAGAATAAGTAATAATTCAATTTTACAATTGTACATTCATTTTTATTGTTTATTTACCTCGTCTATTCAAATGATTTTCATCAACAAATAAAACTGGAAACGTGTTTTGATGTTTTGCATACATTTATTACACAAGGGCAAATGTTAATTTTATTTTTAAAATATAAAATTAAAATTTACATAAATCGAACAACGCGTATCGTTTTCAGAATAAAAATGAGACAATGAGAGTTAACTTAATAGTTTCGATTTAAAATAACAATGGATATGCCTAATTATAACAGATTATTTTTCTTATGTTTTCGATCAAAGTTAATCGTACTAATATTATAAATACGTAAGTTTGAATGGATGTTTGTTAGAGTTTGGAAACTGCCGAACGGATCTCAATGAAATTCGGCGTTATACAGGATAGTTTGGAATACACATATGCTACTTACATTTATTTTAATTCCACACGGACGGAGTCGCGGACGAAATCTAGTCACTATAAATTATTACTTTAAATGAAAATCTTATTTTAAAATTCACACGATGAGTTGTTTAAAATATTTTCACTATAAAGATAATACAGCGAATACTGGAGCGTATATTTTTCTATTCCTTGTAACCAAGTGAAGACCTTTTTAGTGTAAATATAACCAGTTTAACTTATCACGAAACGTTACCATGAAATTAATGACGTTCAACATAATGTATATAGCCATTCAAACTTTGATTCGGTTAAAGCTGGAACCGCTATCCGCACTTGATATTGGCCATTTATAGCGTCCACACCTTTGACTATTTCATAACTGTTGTGCGATTGTCGATTGTTTCGCAGCCAATTCAACTTTTTAGTTGCACGACTAAAAATCTAGTAGAGTGTCCACCTTCATATAAGCTCATAGGAATGAAAGCGGTAGGTAGTGCCGTACCGGACGATCCTAGGCACTGGACAAAAATATCGCTTATAGGTGCTTTTTGCACTCGCAGTGAACTTCCGCGCATTGTAGACGCTCCCACCTAATTACGAGATACCCTTAAGTTTGAATTTAGTGATACCAAGTAAAACATGAACAATCGTTTATCGAATAACTAATTATAATTTTTAATAACATTAGTTAAACACATTTAAATGTGTATTTACTTTTCTTCATGGCCCGCTTCACCTTATCAAATCACCTTGTTCCCAGCTATCGGAAGTCGGCGCCATATTTTTTTTCGGATGTCACGGCAACTGTTGTCTTGTCGGTCATCCGATGATTAAAGCCAGTAGCATTTATAATAAATACAGTGACGGAAAAACGCGGTGTTTCACTTACAGAAAACCTTATTCCTTGTAAGACGACCAATCTATATTAATATAATAATAAGCATTGTTGAAAAAATAAGAACATTTATTACTGGCAGTTGCTCGCGATTTAGTCTGCGTGAAATTAAAAATAAAAAAAAATAGCCCATGTTACTCACTGATAACGGAGTTTCGGATTTTAAAAACTTTACTTGTAGCTTATGTGATCTTCTAGACTATTTTTAACATCTAAGGCGAATTTTATTATGATCCGTTTAGCCGTTTACGCTGTAGACTAACAAACATTCATCCATCTAAACTTTCGCATTTAATATTAGTAAGATGTTTTTGGAGCCAATTTTAATGTATACTTCTGTATCTATACCATTATAATAAAGCGTAAACACACACTTCTTTGTTGCCTAAGATGTCAGCAAATACAGCATATTTTTGAATAATACTTTTTTTAATAAAAAGCCCTACACTTACGTCACGCTTTAGGCTGTAGATTTTCACGCCATTAAACTTAGAGGGTAAATGTATTGGATAAAAAGTAAATAGACAATAAGTTGCTGCATAAGGAAGCAAGGTTGCCATGGTTTGTCATGTCATGTCATTTTGACATTTGCAATTGATATTTTGACACATGTAAACAAGAAAATAAAATTTTCATAATTCCATGCGGATAAAGTCGCACGGGGACAGCTAGTTTAAAATATAAAACAAAAATATAGCATTATCTCATTTTTTCATAATGAAAAAAAGGGATAACAATATCTTTTGTATAAAAGTTCCCGAGTTGAAAAACCCAATAAGAATATCTTTATCAACATAATATTCATTAATTATACATTCAATTTCAATGTTTAATTCATATATTATTTTTTACTTTAAAGTTAATTATGTTAATTAAACAACATACTTACTGAAATACGTAATGATATTAAAAGGATAAAACCTTTATTTCTCCACATTATTTTTGAACCCCAAAAGTATTTTCACGTCATCGTACACGATAGATCTTCCCTAGGTTTTTTTTTATAATACAAGTTGGAAAACGAGCAAGGCCACCTGAATCCACCGAAATGGAAAGTGATCGCTGCCCATTAACATGCGCTAATGCAGATGCGTTACCCTTAATTGACGGAGTAGGAGACGCACATAAAGGGGACATTTCCCTTTCCTATGCGCCTCCTCCATCGTCAAATCCATTAGGCCTCCGGCTCCACACTCATCAGACGAAACGCGGAATTGCTTCCATTTCAGACCTGTTTTCTGTGTAGTCGTGGGCGGGCGAGCCGGCCCATTCATGCGAAGATGTTAAAGCGGGCTCTACCCCTGTTAGAATATCCATAATCATTATTATCTGCTATGCAATATGTTATAAGAATAATCGGCTTTCACTGCGAAACACCTGCACAAATACGAGTACGTAAGGTTTTGTAGGTTGTCTCTCCAACAGAAGAAATATTGAGGAAGAATGACACTGCGTTTTTGTACATGTGTATTGGACGAAACCAATGAATAAGGGTCAATTTAATTTAAAAAAGAAAACACAATTCACTCATTATCATTTTTATTAAATCTGTACGTAATTTCGTTTTGTACAGTTTTATTTTTCCTTGGGATCAGCGACTGCGCTAAGTCAACTTGCTGTATTGTATCCATTAATGGCGCATCTTTAGTCTCTGGGGTTCGTATGAGAAGTAAACCAGAGACTATCGCTGTTATACCAAATATCATCGGTGGAAGAACTATAGACACTGAATTCTGTAATTAAAAAGTTGAATATTAAAATCACAGATGAGATACTAGAATAGATAGCCCATCCCGTACAAAATATGAATTCTGGCTATTCGACTGGCTAATTCGTATACGCACGGTGCGATAGATGGCGTTAATCTCAAACTAAAGGAAACTATATCTAATCGTGACGTCATCAACAACCACTTTATGTTAATGTTACTGTAATACGGATATTACATATAAAAAAAAAGTGTTTGTCCTTATTGTCTCTTTAATAATAGTACGCATCTAATTTTTGTTGCAGATCTCCATAGTTAGTGACCACTAAATATGAGGTTTTACGCTTGCTTAGATCATAACAAAATAATGAGTCTTTAAAATTATTAATTACATAATCTGAGTATATAGTCAAGATACTAGAATTTAGAGGAATATGTACTTACTAGTATAGGAGTTAAAGGTGCAATCATGCTACCTATGCCGCCACAAACGGAGCACACACCCAGCATTGTTCCTCTCACACTTGTAGGGAACAGTTCCATTGTGTATGTAATCACTCCGGTATAACAAACTGACACTATCAACTTACCCAACAGGAATACGGTTATTTTAAGCCAAGTGTATGCTGTAAAAGAAAATATTAGCGCCGTGGAATTAAATTATTACATTAAATATTCTAATTTGCAATATCGCGTGAAAAGAATGTAAAGAAAATTGCTATAGTATTGTGATAATTGATGTTTTGAGGAGACAATGCAAAAGACCTTTAGAGCGTGCGCATAAATAAAACTTAACAATCTTACAATTGTTTAGTCTTGTTTTGATTTCTATGAGCTTATGGAAGTAGGTACTCGTTTTTTAGTTGTGCAACTAAATAGTTGAATAGGCAAAACAGTACCACAGTTGTGCGATAGTTTAGTTAAAGGTACATATACGCCCGCTTTTAGCAAGTTATATTGGGAGTATTATGTCTATTTATACCTTCAGGTATCCAACCAGTTGTAGAGCAGAGCAAGCCACATAATAAAAACCCATATATCAATGGAAATCTTCTTCCTATCTTATTCATTAAGTACAGAGACATCAGCTCACCAGGAAACGACATCGCGGTAGCCAACATGAAGTTAGTATGTTTGTTGCCAGGCAAAAATACAGAGTTTATCATCAAGCCGTAATACACGAAACCAACAGTGAATTTACTAAACCCAGCGACTAATGCTCTTTTAATCATCTCTCTAGATTTTAAAACGGCCATAAAACCTTCTCTCTCTTCATAACTGCCAATGTTATATTCCTTTTTCAAGTCCTCTGCATTTATATTAAGCAGTTTTTCTTTGTCAATATTTACTTTGTTGGATTTTGCTACTTTTAATAGTGTTTTCTTAGCACTTTCCGTTTTATCATTTACTAATTGCCATCGAGGACTTTCTTTCATAACAAATATTAATAAGAGGAATGCTATTGCAGGACTGTAAATAGCCACGACGAGATGTTTCCAGTATGGTACGAATATTGCAATAATAGCGTATACAGTCTCTCCAAGATAAACAGCATAAGCGAATACAACTCCTGCTAGAACTCTGTTGTTTTTACCGCCGATTTCTATCACTGAAATTAAAAGTGTAAATCATACTAATATTATAAATGCGAAAGTTTAGATGGATGGATATTTGTAAGAGTTTATAGCCTAAACTGCTTAACGGATTTCAATGTAATTAGGTAGAGATGTAGGGGATAGTCTGGAAGAACACACAACTTAAGTTTTTTTTTTAATTCCACGTGAACGTAGTCGCGGGCGTAATCTCGTGAAAAATTGTTAATTAAACCACTTTTCAATGTGACGTTTTGCTAGCCGAGGCTGTCTAACTCTGGGGTGTAAGGGGTACGAAGCGTGATCAGAAGGTTTCTAGGTGCCAGACTATTTTTTTGCCAAGGTGCCTAATGAGGTTAAGACGCACCTTCTATATAGAGTGTGACGTTTTTTTATATTTTGTCTGTTACATTGTACTCTGTGTTTATTTTACCTACTTAATACCATTCCAGCCGTGTACGCTCCGCTAGAGATTGTCGCTTCCAGCATTTCTATGAACACATACACAGAGTATGTTGATGTAAAGATTTTCAACAGACCTACGCAGCTTCCAACTGAACACATGATCAATGTTGGTTTACGACCGAATCTGTAAACATTTGATATGAAATTACATAGATAACAAAATATGAAAAGATTTTTTTATCTCTGTTGCATCAAGGTGAATGCGAGATGATAATGTATTTATACGAGTCTTTCGATAATGCAGGAAACTGTTACAATCTATGTTTCTTATCTTTATAGGTTGAATTCGGTCATTTACAGATAGTACCAGTTCTAAAGCTATCTGGGTGAAATTTCTACGGCGCCTCCTTTTTCTATTCTTTGAGCGGAAGTTTAACAGTCTTATGTGACTCTATTCGCTGATATTGGCGCCCCTTTCTGTCCGGCGCTCTGGACAGTCGCCGAACCGCACACTTCACTAATGCTGTTCATAGAAACGTACTAATCATCATCTCTTCTTTCTCCTTATCCTACTCCCGTAGGGTCAGCGTAACAGGTTTTTGTCCCCATATCTCAATCATACGTCATCTTAGTCATCACTCATTTTTTGATCATATCACCTTTCACGCAATCCATCCATCTCTTTCTAGGTCTACCTCTACTAGTGTACTTCCACACTCATAACTAATGTACCCTTGCAAAAGAATTTACTTCTTTAATTACATACCTATCACACAGCCATCCAGCAGCCATTAATGCGATTGACATGCCAATGTTGTGCATTGTCCCGATCATATTTATCTTCCACGGCTGACATCCGAGATCCAGCTGGAATGCATAGATAAATTTTATGCAGCATTGGAGTCCAGAAATTCTGTCGTCGTCTTTTTAATTTTAAATGGAATGTGAAGGATAGAAGAGAAATCCAGAGTGTCGTCGAAGAAATAAGATAACAACATCTAGTAGGTTTTTAAAACAGAAATTTTATATTTTAAATGTAAACCGTATAGCGTAAAATAAGTAATTGACAAAATTCAGTTAACTGCGAACAACACGAAAATAGATACTATTGTCATTTTAAAACCACAATTCAAAACTCAGATTACTTTAGTCATTTTTATTATCAATTTTCTTACCCCAGCAACAACAGTATTGTTAGTTTCGTAGACCCATTCTGTGCAGACCGCGACTTCGTCAGAGAAACTGTTATTGGTGCACACTCCGGCTGGCGGCTGCTTAAGCAGCGGCCTCGTGCACCTGTCAGTGTGCGTGTTGGGCCACCACGTCGTGTTGTACACCGGATACTGACCATCACATTCTGGTATACGACATCTGAACAACATGAATTGTTTATTCGAATTGTAACAATTGCTTCGTGACGAACGCTTGTCGTGTAACATTTTATGTTACTGTAACATCGGTTTTTAAACTCTTCTTTTATACATACCTGTAATTGATATCTCCAGCGACAAACACGTAGTTGACATTGAACATTGTGACGACAGAGGCTTGCAGACAAATGAAGAAGTACTGCAGCATCTGATATCTGCCGAACTTCTCCATCGTCTCTATTATCTCTACCTCCTTCTCATTGCGTTCACTGTCTTTTCCTTCCATTGTCACTACGTTTGCTACTTCACGTAAGTTTTTATAAACACTGTTGTGCCTCTTTGTACAATAAAAACATATTTCGTGATGTCGCTTTTATAATAACTCAATTATTTCAGCAAAGTTACGTTATCCACACTGGTACTTGTCTCAAACTCTTATAAACACACCTTTCACCAACTTGCAAATATAAGAGTTTTTAAACTTGACATATTTATCATGCACTGATAACACTATAGTACGACAACCTTATCTGGCCCGGTAAGAAAGGCTGCAGTTGAGTTTATTACTGTCAGAAAATGTATAAAACCGAAAGCATAGAAAATTACGTGAAAGAAACAAAAAGTGCAATACAAGGTTTTTGATCTTTAGATGGACAGGGGAGCCGAGCTGTTATTATTTAGTTAAACATACCCACGGAGCCAGATAACTTTGCAGGTCTATAAACACATGCCAATAAAATAGAGTAGAATCTGGCATGCAAGTTACTGTTACTTTAAGAGAACTGGCAAGTCACTCATACATGCCTGTTGTCGGACGTGACCGATGGTATTCAACTAGTTAAATCAATTCAGCCACTGGCATGTATATATCCTTACTCGTCATCACGCAATTTGCCGTCGGTAAAGTTTTCGGAAAACTTTTTTTTTAAAATGAAGTAAATTGTAAGAATGACAAAGTGTTTTCACACATGTGTTTTGGGGATAACAATGGCAGATTTAAATGTAAAAAAAAAACAAATTTACTCATTATCACTTTTATTAAATCTGTACGTAATTTCGTTTTGTACCGTTTTATTTTTCCTTGGGATCAGCGACTGCGCTAAGTCAACTTGCTGTATTGTATCCATTAAAGGCGCGTCTTTAGTCTCTGGGGTTCGTATGAGAAGTAAACCAGATACTATCGCTGTTATACCAAATATCATCGGCGGAAGAACTGCAGATACTGTATTCTGAAAGTAAAAACAAACATTTAAATTATCATTAAAACCACATTTAATACAAATATAGATACGCCATCTCATGCTAAAAAATATAACCTAAGTAACTGGCTATTCCAATGGTTTTTATCTATCCGCCTTGTGCGATAGATGGCGCTAATCTCAAATTAGGAAAACACTCCACTCTAATAACGGTAGGCAACTGTTTTTTGCCAAAGATGTTAATACGGTGGCTTAAGATAAAACCTGCTTGCCCCGTTGAACTTAAACTATGTCATGCTAGCTTTAGCCCGCGACTCCGTCCGCGTACTGTTAAAAAAACAAAAGTGAGTAGCCTATGTGTTCTTCCAGACTATTCTCTACATCTCTACCAAATTTCATCGAAATCCGTCCAGTCGTTTAGGCTACAAACTTTCGCATTTATAATATTAGTATGATATAAAAAAAAAACTAGTTAAGATACTTACCAGTATAGGAGTTAAAGGAGCGATCATGCTACCTATGCCCGCACTGACGGAGCACACGCCCAGCATTGTTCCTCTCACACTTGTAGGGAACAGTTCCATTGTATACGTGATCACTCCGGTATAACAAACTGACACTATCAACTTACCCAATAGGAATACAGTTATTTTAAGCCAAGTGTATGCTGTAAAATAAATGACAGTGGATTATCATAATGATGTAGAATCTATAAACGAAAGTATTTTTATCACAAAATGTAGAGATGAAGCAAAAATCTTTCGCAAGTCAAAAGATTCAGAGCTGGCGCAAACCATTGACCAAACTATCGCATAACTGTTTAGTCTCGCTTTAATTCCTATGAGCTTATATGGAGGTGAGCACACTGCTCGATTTTTAGTGCAACTAAACAATTGAATTGGCTGCGAAACAATTGACAATCGCACAACAGTTGGCAATAGTTTAGTCAAAGTCTGCGCCTACTCTAAAGCATCGCAACTCGTTAACATAATAAAAAAAATCTTTATTAATACCTTCAGGTATCCAGCCAGTGGTAGCGCATAACAGACCACATAACAAGAACCCATATATCAATGGAAATCTTCTACCAACTTTGTTCATTAAGTACAAAGACATTAATTCTCCTGGATAAGACATGGCGGTGGCCAACATGAAGTTCGTATATTTACTACCAGGCAAGAATACTGAGTTTATCATCAAGCCGTAATACACGAAGCCAACCGTGAATTTACAAAAGACGGCCACTAAAGCTCTTTTAATCATCTCTCTAGATTTAAATATCGCCATAAAACCTTCTCTCTCTTCATAACTACCAATATTATATTCATTTTTTAAATCCTCTGCACTCATATTAATCAATTTTTCACTATCAATGTTCACTTTGTTGACTTTTGCTACTTTTAATAGTGTTTTCTTAGCACTTTCAGTTCTATCGTTTAGTAATTGCCATCTAGGACTTTCATTCATTACAAATATTAGTAATATAAATGCTATCGCAGGACTGTATAAGACTGCGACAAGATGTTTCCAGTATGGCACGAACATTGCAATGATAGCGTATAAAGTCTCTCCCATGTAAACAGCATAAGCGAATACAACTCCTGCTAGAACTCTGTTGTTTTTACCGCCGATTTCTATCACTGAAATTAAAAGAATAAATGTTAAAACAACAATCTTTTTGCTACATTTTAGCTAAAATACTACGAATTGTGTTAAGACCCAGGGTCATCTTATTCCTGGGGTGTGTAGTGCGTACGTAGGATGCCTCAAAGGGCGCCCGTGCGCCACGCTCTAGGCTCAATAGAATTAGGTACCTTTCACAGGCAGACTAATTTTTTTACTCCCTTGTTAATAAAATAATAAGAATGAAATATGTATTTTACTTCTGTATTGTATTATTTCTGTATTGTATTGTATTCTGTATTCTGTATTGTATTCTGTGTGTTTTTTACCTACTTAATACCATTCCAGCCGTGTACGCTCCGCTAGAGATTGTCGCTTCCAGCATTTCTATGAACACATATATAG